TTTTGAAATTAGACCTCCTTAGATGCGTTTTCTGCGCGAGCAGGGGGGGGGGTCCGGACCCCCTGGACCCCCCTGTACACGCCCCTGACAATTTAATTAAAACGAAAAAATTGTTTAAAAAAAAAATTTATCAGTTAAAAAAAAAGTTTTCTGACTTTTTGTCTTTATCTTGTCTTGTCTTGATCTTGCCTTGTCTTTGTCTTTGTCAGTCTTTGTCTCTCTTTTATGAAACAAAATTTTGTTTAAAGAAAAGGTTCAGTTTCAGAATTGCTGGAATTGGGATAGATTTACGTCACGGCAATGTCTTTGGACTCATTGCTGGTACCTGATCTTTTTCATTTATGTCATTGACATTGTAAAAAGGCCCTCGAAAAAAAATGTCTTTGGAAAAAATGTGGATCTTTTAAAATTTTGGGGGGTTCGTACGACCCTCACGACCCCCCCCCTCCCTGCATACACCCATGAACATATGATTAAATAATCAAATATTATATGCGATAAATCAAATTATTCGCCTGAATAGGACGCTGCTGCCATCATGTAGCCGGATTTTACACTAAATGATCTCATTATGCACCCACGTGATCCGCGTTATTCACTACGGGGTAGATGGCAACCGGAAGAGGATTGTCCACATAACTTCTACAACCTTTAACACACGTTCGTGCCAGTCTATATTTGTCACCGGTGTTCATTGACGTGGCTGCGGTGAGGTCCGCCATTTGTTGTTAGTTTCTTGAATTTTGGTATGTTACTCGGAGATTACAAGTATTACAATAACTTGAACATATGTGTTTGTAATAGTACTGCGCCAGTCACACATGCGCTGATGGTTTTGGTATTGTTGTATATTAGTTGTGTTTGTAGTAGTCACTGGTGCCAGTGGCAGTGTTGGTTCAATGTGTTGCGTCAGTGACACTGATAAGTGTGTGTGTGACCATTATTGCTCAATTTGGCTTTCCTGCGATGTGTGTAGGGTTTTTCCAGTCGCTGTATTGTCAATACTTAGAACCTGATAAAAGAGGGTTGCCTTTTTTCCTAAAATATCTTTCTTCACGTAGTACATATGTCTATGAAATCTCACCATGGGCGGTTATTTGATGTATCATGCCAAGTTGGAAAACGCCCTAACCCACCTTTGGTTTATATTGAAATTAGTCCCTGCCTGTTGATTAGTAATGCCTGTTAGGAGTCACTTGCGATGTATTAATGCTGCATGGTGATTGAAGGTCTCATTCCACTGAAATGATAACAAACCAAAATTATCAATTCATTGAACCAGATGACACATTGAATTTTAAATGAAAGTAACAGTTTTTATTAACAGATAAGATTGAATCTGATATTATTAGATAGCAATTCTATCCATTTGTATTTCTTAATTATTAATATTATGTATCAACTGTTTTGCATCACAAGTTTTTTATTACATTTGCTCATGTTGGGTTGCTTGTGTTGATTTCCCTTATGAGGTCTCTCTTTTTCATTTCAGATTTATTATATAAGCTATAGAAATATCCCTATTTAATAATGGGAAATATATTTACCAACCTCTTTAAAGGCCTTTTTGGCAAAAAAGAGATGAGAATTCTTATGGTAGGATTGGATGCAGCTGGTAAAACGACAATTCTGTACAAGCTAAAGCTGGGTGAGATAGTCACAACAATTCCAACAATAGGTAAGTGAATAGTACCTGTAGTTTGATTGTGATAATTTTCTGTGGGATAAATATGCCTGTAAATACATCATATTTTAAAGTTGTTAACATTATTTGGCTTCTATACATTATGTTTTAAATTGTATATTTTTTGATGTGTTACAAGATATTACGTGGCATGCTCTCTTTGGGCTTTATAGAAATATAGAATACACACACACACAAACAGACACACAGGCGCACGCACGCATGCACGCACGCACGCACACACACATATATAAACATAGTATAAAGTACAACTTAATAGTAAACTATTAAGACATGCATTGTCCAGGCAAGATGAGGGGAAATGACTTTCACTGATGTGATTTCCATTATATTATTTCAGGATTTAATGTAGAAACGGTGGAATACAAAAACATTAGTTTTACGGTGTGGGATGTTGGTGGTCAGGACAAAATTAGACCACTGTGGCGACATTACTTCCAAAATACACAAGGTAAGCTTGGAATTTACTCGCTTGTTTTCAGTTGCATTGGGATAAGTGAAACGTGCATAGGCAGGGGTAGAAATTAACTTCTTTTGAACAAGGGAGTCCAACGGACTCCCTGGCCTCAAAAAGAGGGAGTTCATAGCAAAATGAAGGAGTCCGCAGTCTAAAGTTCTAAACTAAAGTGTAACAACAATAACGCATGTGCTTATTTTGAAGATTCGTGCGATGCACATCTGCCAAATTTTCTTTGGACATTTGCTAACAAATACGGTAATTCCGTGAGGTCGTGCTCTGGAACGAATTACTACTAGTTAGTATAACAGAATTATCAGGGAGTCACACGGACTCCTGCATATGTCAAATCAGGGAGTCCGACAGTAAATCAGGGAGTTGAGTCATTTGACTCTGGACTCGCGTTAATTTTGCACCCTGATAGGTGTTATGTGTGACATAAAACAATCATGCAATGTCATTGTTATGCATGGAAATGTAATTAATATGTTTCCTCAGTTTATTTAAAAAATTATTGTACACATGTGACATTCTTCCCATCTTTTTTTCAGGTTTAATATTTGTGGTGGACAGCAATGACAGGGAGCGCATAGGTGAGGCCAGGGAGGAGTTGATGAGAATGCTGGCCGAGGATGAACTCAGAGATGCAGTGCTGCTGGTGTTTGCCAACAAACAGGTGAGACTATCCTCCCATTGCTATAGTCTCAATTTACACTGTAGCAAGGGGGATGTGTCATATAGCCAAATGTGAGCAGAGAACAAAGGTTTTCAATATCATATATATATATATATATATATCAGTTCTTTGCAGTCGCTACACACAAAGTGCTATTTTCTTTTACAAATTCGTCAATCTGATTGTTATTACACGTGAATTTTATTTTTAGGTAGAACTCCCGTGTACCCCATAGATATCTTGTTTTAATAGTAGTGCTACATCCAACCTTAATGGAAACGACGATAATAACTCGGTATTTCCGCCCATGAAACTAACGTTTGCTTACATCGCAGGATCTGCCCAATGCGATGAATGCTGCAGAGGTGACAGATAAACTGGGCCTTCACTCTTTACGTCAACGAAACTGGTACATCCAGGCGACGTGTGCGACCAGCGGAGACGGGCTGTACGAGGGACTGGACTGGCTGAGCAACCAACTGAAGAATCAGAAATAATGCTTCGTGCAGTTAGTGAATTGTATGTGATTATGAGGAGACGGGGTTGGGCCGAGGCCCAAGGTGGAAGTGTTCAGCCTGGGAGAATGGGCAGCATGCTATTGCAACACCGTGATGTTCCTGTAGGCAGGACTTGATGTGTCATGTATAATTAGTAATCCGACTTGTGTTCCTTGTGTGTGTGTGTGTGTGTGTGAGTGTGTGTGTGCGTGCGTGTGTGCGTGTGTGTGTGTGTGTGCGTGTGTGTGTGCGTGTGTGTGTGTGTGCGAGCTTGTGGGTAAATAATAACAATATGTATAAGATTACAGACATGCTGGATGATTTTTTGATTGGATACTGATTTGAAGAAAAGTTGATTAAAGTGATTACGTCACATTAAATAGTAAAAGTAAAAAAATATTTCCATTTTTTCACAACATGTAAGTAATTCTGTTTACGTATTATGGTTAAATTGCTGCATTATACTTCCTATTTTACTTTATTGTTTGATGTAAACATACACTCGTGACTCATACATAGCCCATAGCAAGCAATTAATGTCAGGATCATAATATCAAATCGTCCAGGTTTTTTGGATTTTTAACTAGTTGAGAAACAATCTTATCAGGTAAGAATTTGAGGATACATTTAGTTCCGTTAGTACTTACTTTTAATGTAAAAAAATGGCAACAAAAATTTACAAATATACACCATAGAAAATTCGTGACGTAGTCAATTTAAGGTTTAAACAATTTTTATCCCGTGTTTAAGCCAGCATGTGGAAATGTTAACAAAGCATCACTGAAAATCCCATGCAACTTAAAACCAAATCCCTAGGTCATACAATTCAGCTAAAAACGTCAAATTATTTTAAACTACTTATGTTAATTATATCAAACTCCCTTTCAAAGTTTCTATGTAATGGTGAAATATTTTTACATGGCATAATGTCTAACAGCAGTTGAGCTCGATGTCGTACGCGAGCTGAACAATGTAGCACCGCCAGGCTCCCTTATTGATGGAATTGTCCTCTGCAGTCCCAAGGTGAACATTTCTTGATGCACCCCTACAATCACAGGCATAACTGTAAAAGTATTTTGGCGTAATATGCTGTGTGTGAGAACTGTGTGTGAATAAAGTCACTAAATGTGTCCGTGGGTGTGTGGGTGGATGCGGGCATATGCGTGCATCCTCGCGTGTGGTTTTAAATGTGCACACTGTTCCATTGACTACTAAGCAAGTAAGCAGGTGTTGCTTCCATTACGCCAGCCACCAACAATCCGGCAGGGGCGCCAGACAGCAGGCAGCATCATTGCTGCCGTACTCTTGTCTCGGGTCTTGACTGAGACAGGCTGCAGTACACGTAGCTTTTTACAAATATTTATACTCATTTGTAGTACAATTCCTACAATTGCAAAAGCATATGCATCGCTGCAGTTAATCTTCTGAATTGTGGGATGGAGTGAATGGTAGCTGTTATTCACTGGAAATTCAAACCACCTAAACATTGGTGTAACTGGCAACCTGGAAAGAGACGCAGTACATGCGTTTTATATTTGGTTAAAATCGAGATGTATTTGTATGTAAGGTCAGTCAAAACATACTTATTTAAAATGTGCAAGTGATCAACTGTGTCCCAGGCAGGCCAGCCAGTTTGTGCGTGAGTGTAAGCGTGTTTAAGTTCGGTTTACCGGTTATAGCATACTTTGTTTCGAAAAGAATCGCGTTGAAGTGTGTACAATGGTCCCGAACCCGCTGCTTAAAATTCATTGTATTCGTACTGGGTGCTCCTGTGCTAACAACTTTCTAGCTGCCTCAGCTGGTACACAATTGACTTGCACAGCTCTGTGTGCAAATGTTTTATTTAGAACCAGCTTTTTAATAACCTTATTGCAGTGAACTGTGGCAGTCTTTAAGCTAGTGCGACCTGAAGCCACAATGTCACTCGGCACAGCTTGGAGTGTGACGATCCAGATGAATATAGAATGAACGCAAGTTTTTGATATCCTGTACTGTGCAAAATTCATTCCCCATGCAGTTTGTTGTGTTGTGTATTCACTGTCGATGTATTATTTATGCGATGTGGTCTTTGCACATCACAAAGTACAAGTCTGTTCTCAGAATGCAGGCAAATTGGTAGGCAGTAGCCGCAGTACTATCATGAACATAAGTATGTATACCTATATTATGCACATGTTCATAGCAATCTGGATGAAGGTATTAGTTTTATCCGTGCCGTATAACCATTTCTGCTGAAGCCATCATACTAACCTAGTCGGCATATCTGGGACGGTTCCTGATGATTTATAGAGAGGGTCTGAGTTTAATGTTTTGTTCGCTCAAAATTCTCGCCAGTTGAGATCTAAATGTTTGTGGACTTCATAATTATGTTGAACTGTGCTGGTGCAATAAAATGAAACACTGACAATTGAATCTGCACATGCTAAAAAATTCTCTTATATTTTACTATGAAAAATTATTTAATGAAGATGTTCAATAGATAAACAGTTCGATGCACCTTATTTGCAAGTTTTGGTCAAGTGCTGTCTGCCAAGAGTATTATATGTGTATACCTTTGTTGAGATGTTGAGTCCATTCCTAACACTAGCAAAATGATGGTAAGACTATGTAGAGCTCTCCTTTCTAGTAATTATTATTGTCTATGGTTAATTTGTCACTTCCATTATTACTAGTCTTAAGCCAGCAAATCAAATAATATATCACAAGTATGGTATACAGTGCATGTTCACATATACCCTGGTGATACTTTATGCACCAGAAATAGTAGAATGTGTAGGTGCTTTTCACTTCACTTGTTATGTGTCAATATAATATACATTTATATGTATATATATATATATATATATTATATATATATATTGACACAACAAGTATATATATACAATATACACTTCTTGGCTCTGGGAGTTTATGAGGCTTTGAATGTGTAAATTTCTTTGTGATTTTTTGTATCTGCCCATCTATTCTGTAAACAATGATATTAAACGTGACTATTCTTTCTCCTTAAAATCATGTGTACGTGTTGGATTAAGTTTATTGGAGTAACAAATTACAGATAATGAGATGTATGCATCTGATAAAGCAATTGGGAGATGTCATGAGTATGATACATCGAGATTGGACTCCAAAAACACACTGTGACACTGTGATACAGTGTTCAAACGCGAACACCTTTCACTTTGAAGTCAAGATTGGAAATATAAAGTAGTACGAATACTATATAGCTTGGGCCTGCTATCTGTATAGTGTACATTTATGACACTGATAAATGGCCAAGACCCAAGATTACTAGCACAAGCCATATCTATATATATAAAGTTGTTCAGCAGAATTTGTGTTCGCGCATAACTAGAGAACTCCGCAGCCTAGAGGAAAACTAAATATATTTTCAGAATCAGCATGTCTGGGAGGTGGTTCTGGCTGAAACTCGAAAAATTTCAAAAAAGTTAAAAAGTTAAAAATTTATAAAAATTCTATTCATCAATAGATGGCGTTACAGATTAACATTATCAGGAGTAGATAATAGGGAATCCCTATTATCTACTCCTGACATTATACTTCACGTACGTGTGAATCCATGGTGTATAACCATAACGGACCAGCAGTAGCCGAAACTGACTCCTAAACCATTGATTCTGGGTTCGAATCTCACTTCGGGAAATGCTTTGTTTCTTTACTTTTGGACTGTTTAGTATGTACTTCTGCCGTATTCACCGTTAATTTCAATTTTTTTTTACCACATTTAAACGTTTAGTAAAAATCCAGAATAAACTATGGTAGATGATAATGATAGCGCAAACTGACGGGAACACATCACGGAAGCCTATGTAGGTTACATATCAAATATTATTATATTTTCTATATAATCATTTTATTATTTATTATTTTTTATTGTTAGGATGGTATAGGATGTGATGGGATGGCATGGCATGGGATAGGATGGGATGAGATGCGGTGCGATGGGATGGGATGGGATGGCATGGCATGGCATGGCATGGCCTTGGATGGGATGGGATGGGATATGGGATGGAATGGGATGCGATGCGATGGGATGGTATGGGATGGCATGGAATGCGATGGATGGATGGATTGATGGATGGATGCATGGATAGATAGATAGTTCGATTTTCTTTGGGTATTTTCCTTTCAACCAAGCGGTCACCAACTGAGCAACGCCACTGATTTCCCCGGACAACGCCGGGTATCCCGCTAGTAGTCTATAGATAGATATATCATAGATAATCATATATACAAACATGTATTTGTATGTATCTATGTTACGTACTAACCACCAACGAGTCATGGTTAGAGTCACTAGCCCCCACAACCCACAGGCTTGTGGGACAGAGTGAGTAAAAACTGAAAATAATGTGAACGCACATTCACAAATACTACCCCTCAATTACACTTCCACTGTTGTGTCACTGCATATCAACTTGCTTTCACAAAAACTAATGCAGAACTATAGCAGCTCCCGCACTCGCCGCTTCAAGTGTGCTGTGTCGCCATTGTATAATGATATATATATAGAGTATGAGTATGAGTATAGACCCGTATAGACTATAGTATGAGTATAGAGTATATATAATAGTAATGATATATATATATATATATATATATATTGTACAGGCACAAGGTTAATAAACACGAAATGGTATTACTACCAAAGTGCTTAATGTTTCTCTACTCTATTTCGCCTATAATCACCTGTAAATTCCATTGTCAAATGCTCATGCTGCAACACGCAAGTACACCGACGCCGCGAGACGCTCACGCGTGCTGTGCACAAACAACATGATACAAAAGAGCACAATGCAATGAGCAGCCTCTCTTATTCATGTTAGTTGGGCACAGCGGCGGGCGTGCGCCGTCGCTACTTGCGTATAGAAGGCCATTACCGCCCAAACCTACCTATATTTTAATCGGCGATGAATTCCAGCCAATCAGAAAGCAGTGGTTTTTTAATCGCCGATTAAATTGTGGTAGCTAGCTGTGCCGCTGTAGCTACTATAACACCACTCACTCCACTGGTCACGTTAGATTGCAGTGTAGCCTGTACATGGATTTACAGGTGTGTGTGCGCGCGCGGCGTGTGTGTGTGTGCAGGGGATGTATCCAGGATTTTTTGCTGGTGGGTCGTGATCATAATTTTTGTGGACCCTTTCACAACGCAATAGCAAGCAAGATGTGTTTCACAATGTCGATAGCAAACAGGGGCGTGTACAGGCAATTTGTACCAGGGGGGGGGTCTAACGCGTAAACCCCAAACTGTGGTAGCACGCGAAGGGGGGGGTCTGGCGGGGCCCTCCCCAGAAAAATTTTGAAAATTAGACCTCCTTTAGATGCGTTTCCTGCGCGAGAGGGGGGGTCCGGACCCCCTGGAACCCTCCCCCTGTACACGCGCCCTGACAATTAAATTAAAACCCAAACACATTTGTTTCAAAAAAAAAATTTATTAGTTAAAAAAAACAAGTTTTCTGATTCAGTGAAAACAGGAGTTTTTTTTGAACTTTTTGTCTTTATCTGTCTTGCTTTTGTCTTTGTCAGTCTTTGTCTCTCTTTATGAACAAAATTTTGTTAAAAAAAAGGCTGCAGTTTCAGAATTGCTGGAATTGGGATAGATTAGTCGTCACGGCAATTGGCATTGTTTTGGACTCATTGCTCGGGTACCGTGATCTTATCATTTATGTCATTGTAAAAAGCCTCCGATAAAAATGTCGTTGGAAAAAAATGTGGACCTTTTAAAATTTTGGCGGTGGGTCGTACACCCTCACGACCCCCCCCTGCATAACACCGCATGGCTGTGTGTGTGTGTATGTTATCGTGTGTGCAGGCGCGCCGGAAGCCAGTTTTCGGATTGTGGGGGTGGGTCGGCCAAAGACCTTAAGCGGGCTTCACGATTTTTTTTATCGTGTGTGCGTGAGCGCGTTGCGCCGACGTGTTGCTTGAGCGCGTTCGGGTGCTGTGAGCGCAGGTGTTGCCGTGAGCGCGTGAGCGCGGTTCGTAGTGCGTGAGCGCGTGTGTGCGTGTGAACGCGTGTGGTGACGTGTGCGAGCGCATGTGTGGTGATGTTTCCTGAGGCGCGTGTCTATGCATCGCGGTGTGGTGCGTGAGCGCGTGTGTGGCGACTGATGTCGGTGGACGCGTGTGTGCCGACATGTGCGCACGTGCGATCGTGTGAGCGATGGTGTGACGTGTGTGCGTGAAGCGCGTGGTTGCGACGTGTGTGCGTGAGCGCCTGTGTGTGACGTGGCGTGCTTGAGCCGCGTGTGTGCGTGGAGCGCGTGTGTGTGACGTGGTGGTGCGCGAGCGCGGTGTGTGTGACGCTGTTCGTGCGTGAGCGCGGTGGGGGGGGGGGGGGGGTTTTGTGCGTGAGCCGCGTGTGCTGGCGTGAGCGCGTTGTGCGCGACGGTGGTGCGTGAGCGCCGTGGTGTACGTGAGCCGCCATGGTGTGACGTGTGTGCGTCGAACGCGGTTGTGTGCCGACTATCGTGGCGTGTGTGCGACGTGTGGGCGTGATGCGCGTGTGTGTGACGTGTGTGCGTGAGCGGCATGGTGCCGGCGTGTGTGGCGTGAAAGCGCGTGTATGCGACGTGTTCGGTGCGTGAGCGCGTGTGGCTCGCTGAGCGTGTGTGTGCGACGTGTGTGCGTGAGCGCTGTGTGTGTGTGACGTGTGTGCGTACGCGTAGGTGCGACGTGTGTGCGTGAGGCGCATGTGTGTGACGGTGTGTGCCGTTGAGCGCGTGTGTACGTGAGCGCATGTGTGTGAGCCCTGGCGCGTGACGTAGTCGTGAGGCTCAGTGTGTGTCGGTGTGCCGTGCATAGAGCGCTGATGTTAGTGGTGCATCCCAATGACGACGCGCCAGTGTGGTGCTTAGCAAGT